TTCAACTCTTCTGTCAAATTGCGTTTCCTAAAAAGTGAGATTCCTACCTGTAGAAAACGTTTATGAGAAAATCTGAATCGATCGAAGTTGGGCTGTTTGAATTTTTCAACTATTTGGAATGTTGAAAAACAAAAGGAGAAAATAATACTGTTACTCTACCGACCCAAACATAAACATCAAACAAAAACATGTAGTATCAAGCTAATCTTGGTAATTCCAATCGGTGTTTTAAATTTTATTTCATCATTTTTTCATTTTTTTTTTGTTACCTTTTCAGAATATTGTCATAATTTTGGCCTCTTTTATTGTGCTCTAAAGTTACAATTTTGGCGGCAGACTTGGTAACTAGCTTAATTAAATTGACGTAAATCTTATTTTGCCGGCCACTTTAAATAAACTGAAATTGGAAATTAAAACAAACACTAAAGAAAAAAGAAATAAACAAGTTACAAGCTGGAAGTGTGCCGTTATATGTGGAAAGAACGTTGCTTTTTACTGCCGCTTTAAGGGGAAATTAGACAGTCCTCATTTGATTTCAACTAAAGCTGAAACACATAAGGCAATAGTAGTAATAAACAAAATAAAAGACACCATTATTTCTTTCGTTTTTTTAAAATTATTCATTGTTGATTTTGTAAACATGAGAAGTACAGTGTCAGCGAAACCTTTGAACAGCATAAACTTGAAATTAAATCACAAAATAACAAACATCGAGAAACCACTCATCACATACTAAGCGACTACTTGTCGCCACTAATATAATACTAATAAATACAAACCTGCCCGCAAGCTAGACAAGAGAAAAGAACATCTCAATCTAACTATCATCTGTCATTTTATATTCGTTTTTCCAACCACCTTCAAGCGAGTAGCGACTGATATTTTATTTTGTTGCATTTAACGCTTCCCCTTTAAGGTAGCAGTGTATTAAATAATCATTACTTGAATCGCAATACGTGATGCACTTAATCACAACAAGTACACACAACCGATCAATTGAGTTTGTACGTGCATGTCTTGTTTGTTAGGAGTCTGCGGGGGCTTTTCATAAAATACAACGTCAAAGAAAGATAACGATAAGTAACAATTGGACGGCGAAGACATGCACAAACAGACGATAAAAAAAACAAAAAACAAAAAAAAACCAAAAACATTGAACAGGAACTGATTAAGTAACAATCAAAATACTATACAGGCAAAAACTAACGAGTTAGTTTTTGCCTGTATATGTTTATCTAAATCACTGTTGATTAGAATCAAAATAATAGCGGCTAGTTCACCGTGAGGAGACTTTAGGGCTGAATAGAACTGACACAATTAAGTTTGTGTGCTTTTTTTCTTTCAGAGAGAAGTGACAAATTTTTTACAAGCTTATCACGAGATCATTGCTGTATGCAATCAGTGTTTGCATCTTAACTGAAGAAGAAAAAGATGAAAACAAGATTTAATAGTTCTGGTACACCGGGAGAATTCCCAACCCTAAATTCATCAATGACAAACTGGAACACGGCGACAACGCAGGATTCCGAATTGATGACGGCAGATTTGAGAGCGCTTAAGCTGACTCTGTACGTGATTATCTTCCTTGTAAGTGCAGTCGGTAATTCTCTTGTCTGCACAGTTATTTTACGAAGGAAAAAGATGAAAACAGTCACAAACTACTTCATATTGAACCTAGCCATTGCGGACTTGACACTGACTTGCATCTGTATTCCTTTCGATATTCCCGTGCAAGAAATGAACAACAAATGGCCATATGGGGCGCTGCTGTGTAAAGTTATATACCCACTACAAACGTCGGCACTTTTTGCATCCATATACACCCTAACGGCTGTCAGCTTATCGCGTTACTGGGCGATAAACCACCCACTTCGTCAGCAGCTTACCATCAAAAACGCCAAATGGATCATCTTCGGAATATGGATTGCGTCGCTGATTTCGGTCACACCGTACACGAGCGTCTTGAAAAAGAACGATGAATCAGGCCAGTGCGACGAGAATTGGCCTAGTGCGAGTGCAAGAAAAACTTACACGGCTTGCCTATTTGTCTTTGAATACCTCTTCCCGTTGACCGTAATTGCGGGTGCATACGTCAGCATCGGTTGGGAGCTTGCCCGACGCGCAAGGAACGGCAATCGTTACTTGCAAGATCTTCAAGCGGACGAAGCGAAGAAAGTCGTGCGCATGCTTAAAGTAGTGACGCTGATGTTTGCGGTGTGCGTTTTGCCAACCAACGTTATGTGGCTTTGGCTGGACTTTGGCAACGCTGCTCAATACGATAAATTCTGGGACCTTGTTGCTTTCTGCAACATAATAACGTTTGCAAACAGTGCAGCCAATCCAATTTGCTATACCATCCTAAACGAAAGCTATCGTAATGCGTTCAAAGATCATCTGTCAAAAATATTTTACAAGATCGTCGGAAGGCCTACTGGGGTTCGAGAGGAATTTGCGAACATCGCTGAGGGCCAAAAGAAAACTCGAACTGCTACAATGAGTTCTGCTTTGTTATAACCATAAAAAAGGTCTGCTTTTTCTTTGTCCTTGGGCCCTGCTATGAAATCCTCACATTCTGTAAGACACAATCCATTAACATTTGGCATTTCATGCCAGCCATCGGTGCTACCCTCTGTACACCCCCAGGAATTCTTGACTGCTGTACATTCAACTTATGAATATTCGTTTTTAACATCGTGGTGGACACCGTAAAGCGTAATTTGATGAGGTTGTTTCTTTCAGTCTTATGCATAATCTTACTTTATTATTTTTATTATTATTATTATTTTTTTAGATCAGCTCTGTAAAAAGAATACTGACCAGGGCGTCCGTACGACATTTTTTGGGGAACTAAGTCGTGTTGCCAAGCAATATATTGGCACTTAGAATTTCTTCGTGGACACAATAGCGTCAAATTTCACAAACATGTGCCGACCCAGTTTTAGGTTACAAAACTCCAAAGGCTTTACAATAGGGACTCGTACCTATCTCAGGAGATCATGGTGCGAACGAAGAGGGTTTAAAATTTGTGTGCTTAATTGAAAATTATGAATAAAGAGAGACTTGATAATTATATGTTATATCTTCTATTATCTCAGAGCTTTTAAGCTTTCAATAGTAACTAAAGTTTTAATATGGTAGAAAATGTACTGTTCTATTTACAAATTGATTGTAATTTGATGGAATTTGCGAAAAAAATGTTCTTTTCCTTTCACTCTAGCTCAATATTGTTATTTATTGTCCCAAAATATTGTCAGAATGGTTTATAAATTGAATCGCAGTACTATCCGGGATAAATTTGTTTGGTCTGGTAAGAAGTAACTGTTGAGTAGCAATCCATCTTTCGCAGAATTCGGTTACAGCGGTTTTCACTTGAGTGTTGAAAGTAATTCGCTTTTGCTTTGGTTTTCAATAACCTCGTTTAGCAATTGGCTAAAAACTCGCCCACTTTGCCAGCCAATCAGAAGTAAAACCAATCCTGACTCGCTCGAGACGTTTTCCCGCGCTTAGCGTCAGCTACATGTATCTGCTTCGATTTTTGATTGGTTCACTGGAAGCTCTGTCTTGCTTGTGTTTGGTTTAGCGACACTCAGTTAAAAACTGTTCTAGCTTTGTCTGACATTTTTATAGGTCTTGCTTTGACTCAGATGTATGGAAAGCGCAGTCAAACTTAATGATTAACACCAACCTTTTTCCTATTATATATCTTTAGAAATACATACAAAATATTATACTAACTATAATTACTGCTTAAAAACAAACAAACAAAAAAGAAAAACAACAACAACAACAACAGCAACAACAACAAAAAACACCTCCTAAGCATCCTAAGCATCTCCTAACCTCCTAAGCATCTCCATTTTGTTTTAAGTTTCTCAGTTCAGATTTTTCCTCCCTCTCATTCCTATTACAGTAACCTGATTTCTAGAATTTGTTTAAGAAGTGCTATTCATTTATATAACAACTAAACTGTTGATTGGGTTAGTTTTCTTTTCCGAGACACTTTCCCCTTTCCCTTCATTCACTGTTTGTCAAAGCAACTTGCCCCGACAGAAAGTAATTCAAACCAAATATTGAAGGTGAGGGAACGAGGCACTAACTGACGTGAGTGTCGCAATCTTGAGAGGAGGGTGTCCGCGTTTAGTTTGACGTGGATTTGGATGTGGATTTTTGGTACGTTTAATAAACCCCTCATTTAGGGAATTCCTATAAAATGTTTAGTTTTCAATTACACTCTTTGCCTCTCTCATAAACGTGATGTCGGCCGGTTGGAAAGAGTGAAACCGACTAAAGAAATATCAGCAAATTAACAAATGAATAACTCCAGGAGAGCCTTGATTACCGATGTCTTCCCTGTAACTGTCATTTTGCATCATAGACGTCGTTATAAGGGTTGATGTTTGATGTAGATGTCAGAGTCATTCGAAGATGTACACGAAGCGTAATCAACTTAGCAACACCCTGTTAGAAAGGCAACGGCGCCATTTTTCCGCCAAAACGCAAATGAAAATTGCTGCTGAGCACCTCAATGACTTTTCACGCAGTAATCTAATCTATTTCCTACATGTATGTCATAAATCGTATAGACCTCTCACTCCTCTTTTGCTTTCATGCCATCACTTTTACGACAAACTTGCATAAACAACGACAGCAAAACTTAAGAAACATCAAAGTGCAAGTAACAATAAACAAAACAAAAAGTGCAACGTCTATTGAATACTCCCGGTACCATGGCATGTTGAAGGACTGGACTCGAAGGTGGGATGCTCCGTTATGCCTATGCACAAATTCTATCCAATCACCTGTCAGTTCCAGGGGGGTCCGACGTTGGTCTTTTATGAGACGAGAGACACGTGTAGCATTTTGCTTGAAACTGTGGAGAGAGCGACAGCATGTTAACATAAAAAAGAAATTTCTCCATTTTGTAAAACAGTTATAATGTTCGTTGATTAATGTAAATGCATCTACTGATGACGTTAAGGGGAATTTGACAGATAACTTCAAGGAGCATTGACGCAAATTCCAAACGCTTCTAAATTTTTGGAAACTATTCAGCCCCGAGTGCCTTTATAAAGGTTGGTTTCAATATTCTGAAAATCAAAATTTTCTTACTAACATTATACACAAACAAAGTTTAAACAACGTTAAAGCGAAGTTTACATAAATTTCAAGATAGCCATCAGTAGTATAGTAACACAACACCAAAGAGTCACTCTAAGAACTTGTCGTGTGTCATCAGTCAACAATGCTGGCGATCCGCCCAATAACGCTTATTACTTGCCGTCAAGGATAAGGTTTTGCATTCATTTGGTTGTGTGGTTAGTTGGTTTTAGTTGGTTTCTGTCTCATTGTTCATTACTTTTTATTAACAGTGTAAGGCAGCGGTGTCAGGCAATTTTAATTGGAATAGCTTTGACAACTTTCTTTGATAGCTAGTTTTCGTGGCTTTCCAAGAAGAGACGTAACTATTACACAGACCAAGTTAGACGACTCATAAACAAAGTCTTCAGGGAGGTGCGTTGGACGTTTGATATTAATATATATATTTTTTGGATAATATACCTCGGCTCAGACAAAACTCGTGAAATAGACGTGTACAGCTCGTCTTCAGTAACGGTATTCATATCTACCAAAGACCCATGCCCGCTCGTGTGATCTGCCCGGCATTTTCAGGTTGATCACTCCACAAAGGGAAGCCAACAACAGGTACACCATGGTAGGCAGCCTCATAAATGCTGTTGTGACCAACGTGAGGAAGGAACAACCTTGTTTTGGCGTGTCCAAGGATATCGTTCTGTGGAATCCAGTCGACAGTCTTGATGTTAGACAGTTTAGTGCTCAAAAGGCTCTCTGTTAAGTTGAAAAATAGTGAAATCAAGTGTAACATCCCTGGACGCTAGTAATAACAAAAACAAACTAGTAAATGTGGCTTTACTCTGTCTTGATGTGCAAACACAAAGGAAAATTTAAAAAAAAATGTTCAGAGGTTAACGAAAATGTGCTCTACTGCAATTCAGCCAACCTTTTTAATTAATTGTATCATTTTTTGACATAAATGCTGAAGAAATGTATTTTCCTTTTAAAGTGCAATTTTGAGTTAGTTTGTAAGGGAGGAAATTAAACGTTAACACGGCAGAAAAACTGAGCTAGAAGCATAGAAATGGTCAAGAAAAATGGACTACGATGTGACGTTTTGCTCTATAAGAAAAATCATACTAAAACACTTTCCGAGAATGGATTTTTCGCGACATACATTACATTAGGTAATCGAATTAAACATTGGTGATTACTAAGTTGATGTGATATTTTTTAAAGCAATGGAAGTGGAGGTTGCGCTGAAAGGTTAAGCCCCTGGTGTTAAGGCTACTATTTTGTCATGATGACAATCAGTCTTTATTCAAGAGAAGGTAGTTGGTGATCGTACATAGAAATGTCTTATCCACATACAGTCATCTGGTTACCAAACAAGAACTATCAAGTAAAGCGCATTGGTAATTTACTACTTTAAACTGCAAAAACAAAGCACTTTGATTATGCCAAACTATCTTATATATTTTTCTAATTTCATTTTCTAAAACTGAAAATAGAAATACCTTTAATCTTCCACAAGACCTTCTGCTTCATTCTACCAAGCACTATAGCTAACATCCTCAACGTTTGCGTTGGCAAGGTAGATACCATCGAGCCGAAGGCGACCACAACAACACCATCATCTCCAGAGTTCGTCATAAAGCTCTCCAGCTCAGGAGGAAGGGTTTTAGCAGGTCGAGGTAAAAGTGGTCCTGTTACTATTAACGCTGTCATGAGTAAAACAAAAGAAAGAAAATGAAAAATTACTTTGCAGGAGTAGCGGAAAGCAAAAGCGGTTTGTCAAGAATGGTTAGCCACAACCTCTTTTCCCAACACCTCTGGTGCACTCTGATAAGGTCATGCGACTTGTTTAAACACGACGTTCAGGTCATCAATATATATGAAAAATAACGTTACATTGACGACACTGGGCGATCACTTACTCTTCATCT